TCTAATCAAATTTATTATTTATTAGATGGGATACTAGGATTCTATTAAACTCGGTCCCACTCAATTATTATGTATATTATGCTTTAATTTTAATTTGTTAAGTATAAGTATTTTATAAAAATAAAGATGGGAAAAAAATTATATATTTGAATTTTTATTTTATTTTATGCTATTTTGTCCAAACATTCCTTGGAACATATTTAATAGAGACATTTTTCACAAGTTCTTAAACTAATTTGTTACATGTTACACATTTAATGTTGTATTTAAGATACACTTTTTACTCCGATGATAAAATCGCCGTATAGTTCCTTTCATTTTAGTTTTCTTAAAACAAATATATATTTTTTATTTGCATAAATTATAGTTTTTATAGATGAACAAGATTTTACAATAATGTGAACCTTATAAATAAAGAAAACAACTTCCTAGAGCTGTAAAATTGTGTTAATTTGAATCAGTCCATAGACTTAACCTTAATATACGTGGATTGATATAAAAAAAAAAACCCAAAAAAAAAACTCTTATTAAAAAGTTTCACAACATTAAAAAAACACACGAAAGTTTAATGTACCATGAGTTTTTTTCTTAAACAACAAAAATATATTATCATTTTTAAACTTTATGTGTAGGTCAATTTTTTTCCACTCTCAACCTAATCTATCAAGATTGATTTTCAGCTTGAACAAGATGATATTGACCTTCAACCTAAGTCAATACATCTTTAGCTTTAATCAAATTTAATTTAGTACAAACTCGTCGAATTCAATTAAATTTTAGAAAGGTCAACTTTGTTGAAATTTGGTTAAGGTCAACTTGATCAATTTGGCCAAATTTTAGATAAGTCAGACTCAGCCAAATTTCGAACTCAATCGAAACTTGGTCGTGCTGACCTTGATCGAAATTTGATTAATAATTGGCCTTGGTCGACATTCGATTGAGTAAATTTTGGTTGAAATTATGTTGAATTTGATTGAGTAGGCCCCGACCAATCTTAACCTCCACCTCGGATCAAGCTGTTTTGAAATTTGACTCGAATTGGTCCATTTTGTTGTTCGGTCCTGGATGACCCATCTCAACCTTCAGCATAGGTCGACCAGTTTTGACCTTCTATTGAAATTGATCCACTTTGACGTTTAGTTTGGGCTGGCTTGTCTCAACCTTTGAGTCGGGTCAATCCTTCTCGACAATCAGTATGGGTTGACCTATCTCGGTGTTCAGCCTGAATCAACTATCACAACCTTTGGTTTTCGCCTGTCCATTTCATTGTTTAATCTCAACAATTGGTCCAAACCAATCCGTCTTGACCTTTAGCCCAACCTGGCCTGTCTCGACAATCATTTTGGGCAAACCAGCTTGGAAGTTCGGTCTGAGCCTACCCATCATGACCTTCGCCCCAAGCTGACTTGTCTCGACCTTTGACTCAGACCAGTCTATTTTAGCTTTGGCTCGGGCCACCCTATACTGGCCTTCGGCTTGAGCTAGTCCATCTCTACCTTTGACTTGGGTTGGTCTGTCTCAATTTTTGCCCCAAGCTAACCAGTATAAACCTTGGGCCCGGGCCGACAATCTTGGCTTTCGGCTATGCCGACTCGTCTTGGCCTTGACCCATTTCAACCTTCAGCTTATGCTAGCCAGTCTCGGTCTTTGGCTCGATCCAGCCTGACATGTGCTTTTGCCTGGACTAGTCTTTCTCGACCTTGGGGCTATTCCGTCTTAACCTTCAGTCTTGGTCGACCTGTTTCGATCTTTGTCACGGGCGAGTTCGTTTCGGCCTTCGGCCTAGACCGACTCATCTTATCATTTGGTCTAAGGTGACCCATCTCGACCTCCAATCTGAACTAGCCCTTCTCATTATTTGAACCTAACTGGACTATCTTGGCCTTTGGCCTTGGCCGACCTACCTCGACCTTCAACTTTGATCAAACTAATTATTTTAAAAGTTAATTAAAGTCTTTGAGAGAGGTTTGAGGGCCAAAGCATTTTTTGGTCCTATAAAGTATGTTTTGAATGTTTTATAAAGATATTACAATAAAAAAATTTCAGATAAATAAATAAAAAAAATCACAATTTTTTTGAAATATTTTGAAAATTTGACAAACATTTAAGTTTTAGTTATTTGGTAACCAAGGCAAAAAGGTATATATGACTTCAATTTTTGGGAAACCAAGACTTATATATTTGCAAATTTTACAAAAATGTCATCTCATCGTTTTACGTTACAGTTTCTTCAATACCGAAGTCTATTAGGTGCATTAGAAGACTTATTGTGTACTAATGACCCAACAAGATAATTGACCAAAATTATGAATTAGTTTAGCCTATACTTAATTATGTATATGTATAATTTAAAGTAAATTAAATCATCCCTCAACTAGATGACTCTTAACAAACGAACGTCAAATTTCTTCATTAATTGTTGTGTATTTGATATAGGAATTTTCATCTGTTTTTACCAAACACGATTTTGACTTAAACTTACGATATTTGAGAATGAACGAATAACAACATTTACGTCTTCACATGGGTACACTGGGAATATCTAAAGTCATACTGGAATTACTTGAATTAGTAGTGGTTGTATAATTGGATGCACCTTATGCAATAACTGTGCAACAAAATTTTTAAATCATTGAAATGAAATATTCATGTACCACAATAGTCATTCTAACTTATAAGTAGTATAGTAAAAAAAGTTAGTAACAATAAAAAGTAGAGTTATAAAAGATAGAATGTCGTAAAGAGGGAAAGACTCGAGAGTGACTTGACGAATTTGGAGGAGATGAAGTATGCTGACAATAGAAAAAGGAAGAGTGCGACTAGCGACAATGACGAAGGAGTGGAAAAAATGAGAACGAAGGTGTTTGTGGAAATGGAAAAAAAAAAACTAGTGTGCTTACAAAGAGGAAAAAGTGATGTTTTAATTACCTTCATGTGTTGATTGTTCAATAAAAGATCTGTAAAATATTACTTTCAATGTCAATTTAAGAAAACAAATTACTTAGAAATTATCTTTACTAAACCATTATAACATATGAAACTTGTAAATAATGGCTAGTTTATCATTGTTTTATTTTACATCGGTTACCCAATAACTATCTTAGAAGGCCAATGTAGTTTTTTTAATAATATTATTAAGATATACTTAGTTATGAAAATAATTAATTTTGATTCATTAAATATTAATAAAACGATCTATTAAACTTTAAAAAATATTAGATAAGTTGCCAATCATCCATAAAATAAATAAAAAAATTTGGTATTATTTATTTTTAGTATTTTAGTAATAAAGAAATTAAAATAAATTTACATATATATCAACTATACATATACTCTTAGTAATAAACCTATAAAAAAATAATGTTAACATTATCAACGTTCTCTAGCAATAAAGATTGAGAATCTTCACAAAATAAAAATTATAAAGAAAATGAAAAAGTTTCAATTGAAGAAGTAGAGAAATAGTGTCCCTAATTTACCACAAAAGTTTCAAGTGTTGTGTATGCTTCCTTCTAACCCTCTCCAATAATAAAAAAATTAAAATATCAATATCAATGTATTTTGAAAGCATAATAGAAGATAATACAAATTTTTTTTATAGAATATATGAATTTATTAAAGTCTAATTTAATATTTAAGTTCTACATTCAAAACATAAGACATAATACCTTAACATTAGAAGATATATGGACGATGTCATATTAAAATATCATATAAAAATAAAATAGATTTTTAATATATAAATAAGTGCAAAATATAAATGGTGCAAACATCATCTTATAAATTAATTTTGTAGAATTGAATTAATGTTAAAATTCAATTCTTAAAATATAAAAAAATGGAAAAGAAAAAACTTTCATGTTAAAAAGATGTGTATGACATTTACAACTCTCCTTGAACATTATGTTGTGATAAGGTTGAAGGTGTGAATGAATAGCCTTGTGAGGCTTATGTACGAAGGTAGATTGAATCTTTAATAAAAGGAATCTGATTCCTCAAGGAAAAATGATAAGACAAGAAAGAATATACAATTTGGGCAGCATTATAATATTTGTTACTAAACTTCCTCATCACTATTATTCCATAAGCATTCCCTTCATAATCCTCTTAAAAGGACGTGATGTGACTGTCATTAACTTGTTTTTTACTGTAAATATTTACTAACTCAAATGCTGCAATGGTTTCAGCCAATTATTGCAGCATTGATTTTTGCAACAAAACAAGTTTGCCAAGTACTGATATGTGTCAATTGATTTCTGTAACACTTCATTTTATTGTAGCACAAAGTTGAAACTCAAAAAAGGTGTTCTTCCCATGCCATGCAGGGAATATGTTCCTCTATGAGGAAGGGTAGGTACAATATGGCCCATATCTGAAATTGAATTATAAACGTATAAACTGATTAATTCAATAATCATTATTCTTAAATTGCTTTTCGGTGTTCATCGATTCTCATCTTCGTCACAACCTTTTGATTTCACTTTCCTGGTCATACTTTGCCTAAACTAAGTGCAAAGTGCAAAGGAAAATAAGTTTTTTTTTTTCTCTTTAAAAACGCGGAAATATCAATTTTTTAACTCATTTTTTAAGGCGACATCAAAATCTATTTTAACATAATGTATAGAATCCATTATCACCATCAATATCAAACCATTAACAAATAATTAATCTCATAATCTCATGCTTAATGTAACCTGTCATAAAAAAAAATGTTTTAGAAATTTCACAAGTAATAAGGCCAATTTTAATAGAGTCTATTCTCATTTTGAACTTCTTTTTCAGAAGTTCTTCCATTTGGCCCACCCCACCTCATCACACCTATGAGTCTATAAGAAGCATATATCCCCCATTGTAAAGTGATGGATATGAGGTAGTGGAGCATGTGGGGTACCATAACAAGTCCAATAATTTTAATTTCCAATTTACTATACACATATGCATATACATATATATTATATTATTGTAGTCATGATATGGAAGTAAAAAGCAAGAACAGCCGCTGAACAAAAACCGAAGGCTCAGAGCCACATTGACCCATTATTGTACCTTACTTTTCATCCTTTCCATAAAAAAAGAAATAGTTTTTTTCACTAAAATATAGTAATTAGTAAAAAGGAGGCCAGTGATAATATTCTTGTATATCTTCAAGCATTACAAAATTACTTGAACGAAATGGTTACGTGCAATGCAACTCACATTCACATGAGTGAGCACGCATTAGGATTTTCATCGCTGAAGAGCTCGAAAGAATCCGACGGCTGCGATGGAGCATACGATGAAGCATACGATGGAGCATACGATGAAGTATACGATGGAGCATACGATTCCGTGTCGTACATGTAGGGTGGAGGCTCCACTTCGTACCCAGGGCGCACCACGTGGGCGTACGAAATCGGTCGCGTAGGGGCATAGTACGCAGCGCCGTAGCTGCTGCTAGGATGCGCCGTGTGGTAGTTCACACTATGAACAACTTGCGGAGGAGCAGGAGGAGGGGCATAGTAATGCGGTGGGTAATCACGGTAAAAGTGGTGATGACGTGTCGCATTATCATTGGTTGGGATCACAAAAGGAACTGAACTTGAAACTGGAACCGCTGGCTCATGAACATGACCTTGACCATTTGACTGGTTACTTGAACCTTCTTTAGCTTTGGCATCACTGGCAACGTCGTTCCCGTTGTTGTTATTACTCTCTTTCCCGGTAGCCGTCACCTTCTTTTTCTTCTTTTTCGCTCCACTGGCACCGGCTCCACCGGTTGTATTCTCATTCCCGGTCTCTTCATTGTCGTTAGGAACTTGAACGGCGATGCTCACTTTTTTTTCGGTTACCGGTCCGGCCGGTTGTAACACCACCGTCTGCCTCACCTCCGGTTTTGGCTCTTGCAACTGAATAGCGGCTTTACCGGCGGCGCATCCGTCGCTGTTTTTTTTAACGGATTTACTTTTGGTACTATTATTTTTATTGTTGCTACCTTCCGCGTTTTTGGATGGGTCTTGCGCAACAACCTTAACATCTTCTTTATCGTTTTCCTTAATCCCTTCGCTGCTTTCTGCGTCGCTCTGTCGCTTCTCTTTGCTCTCTGAACTCACTTGCTTTTTCTTTCCGGAATCTGCCTTTTCAGGCCACAACTCTGCATGCTTCCCCGCCTTGGTCAATTTCCAAATCAACAGCTCGCCGTCAACGTTCCCAGTTACCACCACTTTATGTTGCTTCTGATCGATGTCTATGTCGTAAACACCTGCAGCACGGAAGAGTAACGAGTGTTGTGCAACAAAGAAGGAGGAAAAGGTGGGAAACTGAAAACGAGTGTTTGGCTTTGAAGGTGGTTACGTTACCGTAAATGGCTTGGAGAATTTTCTTGACTTTCTTTTTGCAGCCTTGGCAGTGGATGGAGACCCTCAACGCCACGGTCTGGGAGACAGAAGCGTAAGAAGTTCAGAACCTGTTGGAGAGTACTGGGCGTTGTTAAGCGAATAAAGAAATGTAAAAGATGGAACGATGTTTTACCTTGCATGCGATGGGTTCTCCTTCTACGCGCTCTTCGGCTTCTTTGGGTTCCGCTTTAGATTCTGTTGCTGCCATTGGAGCTTCAAAGAGAGAAGAAGAGATTTTAGTGTTCCAGCGAAAAGAGAAGAAGACAGAAGAATGGTGAGAAAGATGCGGATGGCTTAAAAAGCAGAGAAAGAGAGAGTTGAGGGAAGGGTTTGAAGCATAAGAGAATAATTTATTTATTATTTATTTATAATTTAAAAGAAGAAAATTGAAAAGTTGAAGAAGGGTTTCATGAAAAGAAGAACCTGCATTGGGAAAAAGAATGTGAAAACACGGTGGTCTCAGTTTAGACGTAATTCAACGGGAATCGTTCGATTTTCTTTTATGCAAATTTAATTCTTTTGTTAGTGGACACATACTTGATTCCGTTTTTGCCTTTTCAACTTGGTTTTATTTTCCTTCACATCATATACATATATTGATCAACCAAATGTTTCAAAGGTTTTACTTTTAGGAATTTCGAGAATATATTCTCATAGGTGGTAGTAATCATAGGCTTTATTAACACATAATAAGGTTTAATGTATTTTCATAATCCTACTTTATTTTTCCTAATTTTCTTAATCATCTTATTTTCTGCTAGCTTTTAAGTTTCTAATTAAAATTTTCATCATTTCTACAAAGTTGAAATTTTAATGTATAGTTAATGAAAATGTAATTAAAGTGGGACGGGTTATTCCATTATACCAAAAATTTAAAGAGAAGAAAATCAATTAAAAGACTAACTTTATTCATTTTTAAAAACATAAAGACTTAATTGATCCAGAAGAAATAATGAAAAAAAAAATACAAATAATTTAAGCTAGAGAAGAAATTGATAGTCAATCCTTTTTTTCCCCGTTTTTTAATATTACAAAACTAAATGCACCCATGAAAGTTTAGGTTTATGTAGGTTCAATCTTTATCAATTAGAATAATTTTTGTTAGCAGTTTGGATTCCATTACTCATCGTGGAATTATTAATCAACTGGGCTCAAATTAAGTTTATTTTAATTTTGAAAACACACGTTTAATTTGAGTGTTTCATCCTACACCTCCAACATCTCATCCTGCACCTCTAAAAATTCCATTTTTAACCTTCTGACATCCTGCACCTCCAACCTTTTTAAAAATTTCATTTTTAACTTTCTTCTCTTTCTAATTAAAGACATTTTATTTTCTTCTCTTTTTCTTTTAAAGACACTCTACATCACCTTAATGATAATTCTAATTTAATTTAAAATTTAAATATTATTTAATATAATTTTATATTTTAATAATTATTAAAATATGATTTATATTATAATAATAACTATATTAAAAAAATAAAAATAAAATAATAAAAATAAAAATAAAAATAAAATAATAATAATAATATAAAATTTGACTTAATATATTGAAATATATTAAATTATATTAAAATATTAAAATAAATTAAACAATTATTAAATTGTAAATAAAAACAAAAAATTTTAAAAACTTGTTATCGAGAATCAGTTTTGTTTTTTATTTAAAATTTAATCAATATTTATTTTAACTAAATATTATAGCATTATTTATTATATTTTTATATTTTAATAATTATTAAAATATAATTTATATTTTTATAATNAAAATATAATTTATTATTTTTATAATAGTTTTAGTAAAAAATTAAAAAACTAAAATAATATTAAAAATCACATTTAATTATGTAAATTATATTTAAAATATATTAAAATATTAAACTAATTAAATAATGATTAAAATCAAAATCAAAATCAAATTTTGAAGAATTTATTTTCGGATATCCATATCCGATTATAAATTTATAGGGAGGTCAATATCAGGACTAACGTTTCTAAAGTGGAAGTTGTAGGTAAATGTTAAGAATAGGGATTTAGGGAGATGGGAGAGAATTTGAGAGATATTTAAAGAGAGTAAAGGTGATGGAAGAGAATTTGAGGTGATGAATGTGTTTTGTGGTGGGGGTGGGGGTTGGTGGTTTGAAATGAGTGTGGGGTTGTGTTGTGGGGGGGGTGGTGTTTGTGGGGGGTGTGTGTTTGTGTGGTGGTGTGGTTTTTGTTGGGGGGTGGGGTGTTTTTCTTCTTGGTTGTGTGGGGGGGGGTGTTTTGTGGGTTTTGTTGGGGGGTGTTGGTTTTTGGTTTGTTGTTGGGTTTTTTTTGTTGTTTGGTGTGTTTTTGGGTTTGTTTTGTTTTTGTGGTTTTGGGGTGTTTGGGGGGGTTTTGGGTTTTTTTTTTTTTTTTTTTTTGTTTGGGTTGTGGTTTTTTTTTTTTTGGTTTGTTTTGTTTTTTTGTTTTTTTTTTTTTGTTTTTTTTTGTTTGTTTGCGGGGGGGGTTTTTTTTTTTTTTTTTTTTTTGTTTTTTTTTTTGCTTTTTTGGTTGTTTTTTTTTTTTTTTTGTTGTTTTTTTTTTTTTTACTTTATATTTTTTTTATTATTGGAATCGTATTTTAGTTTATTTATTATTTTAGTTTTATTAATAAAACTAGTATAAAAATAAAATCATATTTTAATAATTAGTAAATATATAAAAATATAATAAATAATCGCTATAACTGTAATTAACAGTAAATATGTGATTAAATTTTAAATAAAAAACAAAACTGATTTTTTGATAACAAATTTTAAAAATTTTTGTTTTATTTACAATTTAATAATTATAATATTATTTAATTATGTTCATATTATTTAATATAGATTTATAATATATTCAAGTGAAATTTATATTATTATATTATTTTATTTTATTTTATTTTTATTTTTTTAATATAGCTATATTATTAATATAAATAATATTTTAATATTATTAAATATAAATATATTAAAATAATGATTAATTTTAAATAAATTAGAATTAATTTAAGGGTGCAGAGTTTTTTAATAAAAAGGAGAGAAAATAAAAAAGATAGTTATTAAAATATCTGTAATAAGAAAGAGAAGAAAGTTAAAAATTGGAGGGAAGGATGTCAGAAGGTAAAAATGGAATTTTTGGAGGTGACAGGATGAGATGTTGGAGGTGTAGGATGAAGCACTCGTTTAATTTCTTTCTGAAAAAATAAATATCTATTATTACTCATAGCGTTGTTTAATTTAAACTCTTTATTATTAATTTAAATGATAATTATGACAAATAAATTTGTAAAATCTTAAGATTTGGAGATACTTAGGAGTTGTTTTCTTTAACTTTAAAAATAATTATGAATATCTATATCCACCACGTGTGTGCCAAACATAAAAAGAAGTATGAAGTCGTTAAGCAATAAATACTTAAAACTAACACCTAATATTCTCCGTAACATTAACAAAAATCAACGTCACCATGTAATTAAAAACTTCATATATGCATGAGTGTGACTCTTTCGTTAACGATTTTGCCCCGTTAACAATTATAACCTATTTACAGAACATTTCAAAAAATAGAAACCTAATTGATAAAAATAAAAATTGGAGAATCTATTTAAGATTTTTTTTACAAAAATCAACCAAAGCATAATTAAACATTTCTTATAAAATTTCATGTCTCAAAATATCATGAATATTTTCAATTTTTTCTATTTATTATGACGTGTTTTACATTTTCTCTGGCTTCATATTTTTGTCTCAGCAAGAGAGAAAGATAAAAAACAATAAAACTTTTTTTTTATACTTGTAGACATATGCATAAAACAAAATGAGATAACTAGCATAACTATATGAAGGAGCACAGGAAATACTGTACTTGAAGGCGACTATTTAAATAAAGAAAAAAACATTTATTTCTTTTTCTTTCTACTTTTTTACACCACTTTTATAGAGTTTGCAAATTGCTATTGGATATACAGATAGGATCTTGCTGTAAACTCATGGGAAACATCTTTAGTTGTAAAGCAATTTTGGAAGCCTTCTATGTTAAGTCATCATAGTCCAAAATCAAATTTTCAGTTTCCACTTTTCACTGAAATTTTTCTTATCCTCGATAATTTAAAAGTAAGAGATTAAAAATAATTTGTATAATTATTCAGTTAAGATATTTTTATCCAATCCCAATTCTTTTTATTATGTAATGTTGTTTTCTTAATTGAGATCTCGGAATATAGATGAAAGGTCACGATGTTCATAAAATAAAAAAAATTCCCACATAAAAAAGACTTTGACATTCAAGCCAAGAACATGCATGATAAATGTACAAATTAATAAACAATATATCTCATAAAATATATTCTATTTATAGTATTCTAAGTCTGATCTAAATGTTTTTTTATTAAGTCTCAAGTATATTAGTCCTTAATTAACATTATTTATTTTGCCTTAACATGATAGTTTTATTTAGGTAAATATTTTAAGATGATATAATTTTGAGCCCACAATATTATTTTGTATTCTATACTATACAACTTATTCGTACATGTTTTAAACTCATCAAAACATCTTAAAGATAAAAATGATGATGGGGAGGAAAATTCAAACAGAAGACAATATATTAAACGAAAAACACTTCTTTAGCAATATTTTTGCCAATGATTTCACAATGCCATGTGGAGGTTGTCAATAGGCTGATGTGAAAAAAAAATAATATACAATTGATGAGGTGAAGGATTATGGGAAGGAAAAATACGAAATTTGTTTCGTGCTTTCCCTTCTTCTTTCATTCGCCAGTTTGATGTGTTATCGCTCTCTCTCATCTCTCGCGTCCCTCATCTCTCGCGTTCCCTCATCTCTCGTTCTCTCATCTCTATCGTTCTCTCATCTCTCTCGTGTTCAAACCCTAAAAACTCACCTTTACTCGACCGTTGGTTTTGTGCCTTCTCGTTGTCTTGGACGTCTGTCTTGTGCACCATTGAAACCCTCTTCGATGTCCCTATCCACCATTGGTATTGTGCCTTCTCGCTATCGTGGTATTTTTTGGTAAGTAGAACTGCACGAACCCTAACCATCTTCTCCAGCATTGACGTTTTGTTCTTTCGCGAATCCTAACCATCTTCTCGAACATTGTTGTTTTGTTTATGTTATAACTGCAGGTCCAATGGCAGCCAAAAAAAGAAATGTAAGATGAAATGTAATTTTTTATTTTTATAGATGATGTATTATCCTCTGAATCTTAGTTAATAATAATTTTTTGTTAATGTTTTGTAGTGGCTCCTTCGTATCTCGA